TTAAAGTCTATTTTGTCTGAGAGAAGTATTGCTGCCTCAGCTTTCTTTTTACTTCCATTTGCATGATAAATGCGTTTCCATCACTTTCGCTTTCAATCTGTGTCTTTAGGTCTGAAATGGGTATCTCGTAGGCAGCAAATAGATGGGTTTTGCTTTTTTATCCATTTTGTCACCCCATGTCTTTTGATTGGAACATTTAGTACATTTACATTCAAAGTAATTATTGATAGGTATGTACTTATTACCATCTTGTTTTATGGTTGTTTCTGTAGTTCTTCTCTGTTCCTTTCTTCTCTTCCTCTCTTCTCTCAGGGTTTGTTGACTTTCTTTAGTGATATACTTGGTTTTATTTCTCTTTATTTTTGTGCATGGTCATTTTTATGGTCCTACACTATGATGCAAAGGGAGAACTGCATATCTGTATGTATATTTCACAATAATTATTACCATCCTCATTACTCTGATGAGAAAATTAATGCTTCAGAGAGTCTAAGCTACTTGTCCAAGGTTATGCAGATAATAAATAGTAGAGCTTGGGTTTACATCTATGCCGTCTGCCTCCAAGACCTGCACCCTTAACCATTATACTACAATGTTGCCTCTACCAAGCTATAAGCACTTCAAAGACAGGGATCATAGCTTGTGATCTTTAAATGCCTGGCATGTAGACATTTGATAAATACACGTTGAGTAAATGAAAAACAAAAAAGAATAAATGAAATAGGAACTATAAAAGGAATTAACATTTATTGTTTGAAAATAATGAGAAAAAATTAAGACCAATTGAACACTAAGTAGCAGCAACCTTATAGATGTCCATCAGTTATAGATAAAATGGACAGATCTGAAGTCATCTCATTTGATGTGAAAGCCAACCATTTCTGAAATGTTTGGAAACATATAGCAGATGTAGAGGATTATGGGTATTTGCTAAGAAACTTCTGGTGATGGCCGTTACATCAGAACACACTTGACAAAGACTTTGGGGAATAAAGAATGAAGGTTTCTTTTCCTGATCCTTTCATACAGTAGTTCTAGGTGTGGAAACTATTCCATGAGCATCCTCTGAGAAAGGCAGGCAGTAGCCCCTGAACTTGCCACTGGCCTGAGTAGCCACTAGCAGCTCCTAGTCCAGTGCAGCAGCTCTTAAACTTAGGCATCTATGGATGGGCTTCAAAAGTCCACAAGTCCCATAGTGGGCTCTTGGACTGAGCATTGGGTGTTCTATGCAACTGATGAATCACTAAATTCTACCTCTGAAACTCACTTTAAAAAAAAGTCCACAAGTCCTTCCAAGTATCAGGTTGATTGCCACATTTTGTGTTAACAAGTTTATAAACTCTATGGGAGGAAAAAAGAGAAAAACATTCAACTGTGTTTGGAAATTTTTGTACCAGGAGCTGTCCCCATTTTCAGAGTGAGTACTACACCTTCTGGAACAAGTTTTAAAGCCCCACTGGCTGTCATTTGGAGGAGGGGATGAACAGAAATAGACCCTTACAGCACACCTGAAAACCACCTGAGATTTGTGGTTTGTGTCTGTGTCAGGAAAGTTCCTGTTGAAGTCTTGAGGAAAGGGTCCAAATAATCAAACTTAGAACAAAGCTCTGTTTGGAAAGCCCAAACCAGAGGAAAATCAAGAAGAGTTGCAGATGTATAAAAATAGATATGGGTCAGGCAGAAATATGGAGATGAGAGCTTGTGGGCTGCAGAAGCCAGTACATTGTGTTTTGTTCTGTTCTGTTTTTACAGCCACAGCATTTGCCCAGGCAATAAAAATGAAAGAGCAAGAGAGAGACAGGGTAGGTAAGGAAACCAGCGTGAGTAAGAGCCGACTCAAACTGTTATAAGCACAGACTGCCAGCCTTAATATATTCATGGAAAGAAATCAGCTCATCTGGGAGAGAAGACTCAGAGCAGATATGAGATGGGGAACATACATCCTCCTGCTGGCTTCCATGAAAGGCAATGCTTCCCAGAACAAAGGAATGCCCCTGGGGACTAGCACAGCATCTATGATTAAGCCTTTGAAGAATACACCCTCCCATTTTAACTCAAGGCCCTAATCCACCAAAAGAATAAAACCTACTTTCTAAACAGGGGTCTGAAGTTAGCTTTGTTGAAAGAGCTCCAGTCTACACTTGGAAACCCTATAGCTCACACAGAGAGAACTACTGGTCCCAGGACCTTCTTTAGGTACCATTCACTCACAGGAAGTGAGCAGGAACTTCTCTGTTCCAGAATATCACTTCTCGCCTTTGGAGAAGTGTTGATCTCCTTACGTCTGAGATTCCTTTAGAATGGATGAGCCACTCTGGGCCAGCCTAGACCAATCGGTGTGCTAGATGGGAGCAGAAACCAAAGCCACCCTTGGGGTCCTTGCCTTAAAGACCTTCCCTAAAAAAAGTCATAATTAAAGTTATCAGAGCTCACTTGAGTCAGTGGGCACCACGGATTCGATTAGTGTGTAAAGGGAGTATCAAGGCTAATGCTACATCTTACATAATGAGGAGGAGAGAAGATCCATCATGAAAAAAGCTAAGGGACTCAGATAACCACAGGAAACAAGATTTCATTATTTGAAATTTTAAAATATGCCAGAACTGTGTGTTAACTGCACACATAAATCCTGTCTCTCCTCAGTGAGGCCCAATAGATATTTCCAAAAAAAAAAAAAAAATGTGTAAGAGATGGAGAATTTAATTTAGCAGAAATTCTCTGGAAGAATGTTCTTTCTCTCTCTTTCTGTCTCTGTCTCTCTCTCACAAACACCCCTCCCCCAATCCAGTCATAAGACAGCCCTACAATTCACAGGAGTCTCCTTATAAATTTTTAGCCAGAGAACAAAAGAGGGTGGAGAGTTTGCACCCCTAAGGGTCTAGACGGTTGAGTATGAGTGTTGAAAAGAAGAAAAACATTTTATCAAATGATATTGTGGGATTTCTGAGATATACAATTTATAAGTACTTTAAAAATTATTTTCAGTTGCTTCATTCTTCTTTGAAAGTAGCACTTTGTGGAAACTGAATCATATGAGGTCCCTGCTTAGATTTGGGTTTCAGGCATTTCTTCTTCAATAGTCAAAACAGTTTCAAATAAAAACGGAGATTCCTATACCCCTCCCATTTGGTATCTCTCCCCATTATCCTAGCCCTTCCAGCCCTTTCCTGTGATTCATCTAGAAACTTCTTGCTTTACTGACTTTGGTAATACTTTCCACACCCCTTTCCAGTTTTGCACCCTTGCCCAGTGTCTGTGACACCAGCTTCAGATGAGATTCCTCTGTCCTTAGGAGGACTTTAGAGAACATCTACAGACTGAAAAGGACACATTTCCCAATGAATATCACGATTATTATCTTGTCTTGTGAAAAAGGTGAACATTAGTAGGCTAATAAAAAATGTTTTAGATACAAGATGCAGTATTTTGAGTAAAGAAAACAGGTAAGAAATTTTACTCAAGAAAGGGTTCACCTTGATATTATTAAACTTTGATATGCTAAAAAAAAACCATAGTCAACCAATAAGAAATATGCCCCTACTTTTAAGGAGTTAGAACATACTGGAAATTGTCCTCAAAAAAGTGGGTGAGAATCCTTACAAGTCTCAAGTTAAGGTGGCAACCTGGTCCCCTTCTTAGCCCCGGCCCAAGGAAGCCTGTCTCTTTTATGTAGAAGAACCTCTGTTGAGAATTACATTACAAGGCACTTGAGGATGGGGACCACATTTATTTGTTTTGAATATCTATGCCTATTACCATGTAGAGCCCATAGAAGCACCGAACACATGCTAGTTGAAGGAATAAATATAACTAAATTCCTTAACCATTGGAGAAATTGCTCAAAGTTTTTATTTTATTTTATTTTTTAATTTTATCAGTCCACATGTGAAAGCTTTGGTCAGGGTCAAAAAACTAACTGCATCCTTGGGTAAAAACCATTTTGTTTGGATCTCTGGGCTTGCATGATTTGTAGAAGGCCTGGGTTTCTGTGATGAAATAAAAGGTATTTCCTTTATAATATTTTGGGTCTCCAAATTTTCAAAAATGTATTTTATGGTTTCTCTTTGTTTTTGTTTAAAAATAAACTTGTTGTGTGTGTTGGGGTTGGGTAGAGGTGCTCAAGAAGAAAGAACAACAGCAAACAAACAAAAAAGCCACTTTGATTAAGCATAGTTAGTGAGCTCAGTGAAGCATGTTTCATCCTGATGCCAAATGACGCTCACGAAAATTGCAGCAATTTTTGATGCACTTGCCAATGTTTGTGTTATTTTTACTTTAAAGATGTAGCAGATTGCTCCAAAATAAATAATTTAAGCCTAACGTTTCAAAAGAGTCCAAGCGCTTGCGTCTTTCACTTCTGGCTTCTCTTCTGGGACTAAGCTGTGCCCAACAGAAGCAATCCTCATTTCTATGTAACACTCCATTTGGAGAGCTGTTTTCTTGCTTTGTTTTTCAAAGTTGAATCTATTTCTCACCATTCTGTTCCAAATGTCGTAGATTCTATCATTGTTCTGCGCTGAAACCATAACTCCTCTTATTCAGGAAAACAAGGGAATAAACTCCACAGCATCTAGTTTCGTGACTTTGTGGGAGGAGGCTTCAAAGGGGTGCTCTGGGGTGAAGATCTAATCCAAGCCCCATGGGAAACTACAATTTCCATATTGATTCATATTTAGATTTCGAGCCATCAACAATGGGTCAAATTTTGCGCACGTCCTCAGTATAACTTAAAATAGGTTGGCAAATTAACTTCACACAAAATGACCCCATCCTCAATCAATTATTAGACTTCTCATTTGATTGTCTTCGTGGTAAAATCTAAGAGAGAAGAAACATCTGTGATTTAAAAAAAAAATCAAAAGTAAATCTTTGTGCTGTTCTGTACTTCCTAACTGTGCATGAATGGCTTTTATAAACAAGAGAAAATGGCTTTTATAAAAAGATGAAGTATAAAAAGACCAGAACAATAAACCGACGGCCTTGTGTTCTCATTAACGTAGGCCGCCATTGTGAGGTCCATCAGATGATTGGGAACTACATGTGGGACCCCACCACCAACAAGTCATTTGACATTGGTGTCAACAAAGACAGCCTGATGCCGCTCTGGTGGAATGGATCAGAACCTCTGTGGGTCACTCTGACCAAGGCCAAAAGGAAGGTCTACATGTACTACTGGCCAGGTGAGTGTGTTGACATCCAGGTCCCTCCAGCCTTCCAAATCTCAAACACTGTGGAGTCTCTGAAGACAAATGATGTGGTTGTCATGTTCGAAGACCAAGCCAGAGTTTGGAAAATGGGATCTTTACAAGAAATATGTCTTATGGGCATAATTTTTAAACTTTTGTTTTGAGCTCTCTAATATCAGACCAGACACAATGCAATTTCCTGATTTCCTTGGTTCAGCAATGTTGCTGTAGTAGATCATGCTTTTTTCATGAGCAGAATTTTGGATATCCAAAAGAGATAAATTATGTGTTGCTTCTCTGCTTTACAAAAGAATTTGGCGCACTGTTTCTATAGATTTTGAGCTCCCCTGTAATGTTGAAAAGACGATTTAAAGCACTTACAACTTTCTGGTACTGCATTAAATGAGGTCTCTTTGTATTAATATTCCTCCTGTACATCATAGACCAATGAGAAACTAAATTACTTTGCTTACCGCAGTGAGGTAAGTCATGCAAACTACCCTGGCTGCTGTGAGAAGTCTTCAGAATACTTTCCTCTTGGCAGTCAAAAATCTTGCACCAAGGATGAGAGGATTCAGTGATAACAATGTAATCAACTTACAGTTGTCTTCCCATTGGTTCCCATTGGGATTCGTTCTTTAGGTAAGTGGGTAATTTGACTTCCCAATGTACATGGCTGTAGACACTTTTTTCCGAATTCTTAATGGTGTAATACTGCTGAGTGCCACGATTGAAGAAGATGTCAGGGGAGGCCTGGAAGAAATGAAGGGAGTAATGGGGAGAGGCCGCTGGGGGAGTTCACTGGCCTCCATTGGAGGGCAGCAGCAGCCTGATAAAACTGTGAGAGCACGGTGGGTTGTGGGGGACCGTGGTAGCTGGGGGTGGGGAAGAACAGAGAGAAGGATGAGTAAGCTGAGGCTGAATCACAGATGGCCCACACTGAGGGCGTGGGCTTTCAGCAGCAGTTTGGAGGATGCTGGTTGGAGGTGGTCACGTGAGAGCTGCTTAGGGCCCTCAAGGCTGTGCCAACTCTTGGAAGAGCATGGAACACAGACAGATGGAGACCGTGGAAAACGGACCCACGGCCATGCTGGGTTAAGTGCCCGGAAAACTGCCACAGAGCAGAGACTAGCATCCATACGTGAGCCCATGAAGGCCAGAGCAGTCTGCATAAATTAGAAACTGGGCTTAAGAGCAATTAGACACAGGCTGGCTCTGCTGGCAGATAGAATTTCAGGGAGAGCACTGGAGTTTCTTCAGAAGATCTGGGATTCGGTCCATAGAAGCTACCTCAGCTGACATGAGAAGAAGCTTTCAAGCAAAGGAAGGATTTAAGGGGACTTCATTACCTTAAATGGAGACTCAACTTTCCAGAGTTGGACATGAGATTGAGAAAAGAAGCCAGTGCACCAGCCAAGCTAATCAGACTTGCTGGAGGAGCCAGGCTCATGGTTCAGCCCAGTGTGATGACGTCTCAAGCCAAAAGATGCACTTTGAGGTCATTCTCAGAAATCATTATGAACAAATACAAGGCCCACATACCAGGGCCTAGGAGAAGGAACAGCTTGGGCATGCTGCCTTAGGGACCACCCTAGACAAGTCTAAGGACCATCAAGATGCCTGTTACCCCAGTGCTGTAAGGGCCATCTTCCATGGTAGCTGGTTAATTTAATTCCTCTGTCTTGGAACTTGAGTTTTTCATGCTCTGAAGAGCACATATCCCCCATCATCTCTCCCCAGCTCCCCACATGCTGCCTCCTGTACACATGATCTCCTGCCAGTGGCCTTTCAGATAGCAGTGGATGCCAATGTGCATGAAGGTAGGGAGTGGTCCTGAAGGGAGACAGCTGCCCTATTTTAGACCTCTCTCTGCAGCATTACAGAGCATTATTCTGTATCTCCTCCTGGAAGATCTGGCTCCTTCAGGATAATAAACAACTTGAAGTTACATATCTCTGAGTATCTAAAAAAAAAAAAACTCAAAGCTAATTTGCATGTAAAATATCACGTTCTCCTCCAAAACAGCTCCTTAAGGGCAAGAAAGTTCCAATCGCTTCTTTTGATTCACAGTTTAACAGCTAATGTGTGTTATAACATTAACAGCTAATGTGACAAATATGCCTTATGATCAGTTTAGGGTGTTAACTATTGGGAGGAAAGAAGCTGAAAAGAAAAATCTCCTAGGATTTCCTCAGTGACCTAAATGAAGATGAGCTCAAGATCTGGCCGTGTTGAAGTCTTGATAGAAATCGGATGAATAGTCTCTTCTCAGACACTGTCCAGTCCTTCTAGGACCTTCTAGGCTGGATACCCAAATAAAGGCTCTCCAAGAGCTAAGTGTCTCTGAAGCCCCTGCCCCCTGACCCAGCCAGGAGGGCTCTTGCACCCTCCATTTTTACTGGCTGCCAGCTGGGGGATGAATGGTCACTGCTATCGTTTCTCCCTCCACCTTGGTCCCCTCCAGCCCCTCCACACAGCTAACAGCCCAGTGAGAGTTCATTTGTCTCTACAAGATTAAGCGAAGTACAGTGGCGTTCCTTCTAAACATGACTTGATTTTATTTTTCTTCTCAAATCCTCCTCTTCCTTCTCCACTTCCCACAGGACATAGTACAGACCTCTGGATGAGGCCTGGAAAATCTTCATTGCTCCAGTGAGCTGTGTTATGACACTTTGAGTCTCACTGTGAAGTCAATATTTAGAAGTGCAATTTAGAGATGGCAGTAGTTCAAGTTTTTCCTGTCAGGTAGACAAAGCAGCAGACGGAAAAATTCGTCAGTGGTGAAGAGTCCCAAATAGCCCACCTCAAGTCTCGAGAAATTTAATATTGTAAACAGACCCTTTATTATCCCACCCAATGGTGCCATTGAGCTGTGCAGGGAGAAGCGTACCATGGGAAATGATCCCCAGCCCTAAATCAAATATTCCTTTGGGAAGCCCAAAGAGATCATCCAGGAACTGTATGGTGGGGGCCTAGCAGTGTTCTGCAAAGGAAAAGGGCTGAGTGTGTGTTGCTCGTTAACTTTATCTCCTATTCCATCCCTCTGGTTTGAGATCAAAGAAATTTTACTGAGGGGGAAGGGAAGAGGCTCCGATACTCACTTCATAGTAAGAGCATCCCAAAGCCGAGAAGGGTGGAGGAGGAGGAAAAATGAGGGGAAATGGGAGGACAAGGCAGATACCATGTGGAAACTGAGTTTGAGCTCCTTGGACAGCACACAGGGGCAGTGGTTTTAAGTTGGTTCTTATGGCTGTTGTGAAATCCCAAAAAGGAATAAAGATTAACAACTTTTTAGGAGTCTCTGGTTAAAACTCCTTGGAATGTTTGAAGACTCTGAGTTCTATGTCTTTTATCATGCATTTTGCAGTGTGAACTCCCTACAGCCAAATACTCAGGGGGACTGGGGAGCCACCAGTCATATGGCCCTGGAGAGCGCTGGGTGCGGGTCTGGGCTCTTCTACCGACCTCTTTCTGTCCTGTGCACGTGTTCAGATAAATAAGGCACCTTCTTTGTAGGGAAGGACACATTTCCAGCTTGCTTCCCTTCCCTACATTCCAGAGGTGGGCTGGGTGGGGACTTGAGGGGTGAGCATCTAACTGAGCTCCTACCAAGCAAGGTGATTTCATCTGCATAAGTCAGGAGACATGCATTGACTATTGATGGAAAATTATGGATTGTTCACAGCCTCTTCCCCTTTCCTGCTGTGGTGGGTTCCTGACAGCCTTCAGCTGGGCTGAACTTGGTTGCATACACTAAGGCACAGGGAAGATTAGGGGCCCAGCATCAATTATACAATGAGTGAGTTAACGTTAGGAATGGCTCAGTTCTTTGACTCTATGAACAGGACTCCAAATATCTGAATAAAAACTGAAATTCTTTTTTCAGACAAATATTTGACATTGCAAATGCATGGGATCCAGAGTTTCACTAAATTTTCCAATAATATCACCAATTTAGCCTTAGACTTTAAGACGTATGTAACTTTAGAACACAAAGAGGCCCTAGTATGTAGTTTGCTCATTCCTATACTTGTAAATCAGGACCTCTTTAGGAAACTCATCAAAACTATGGATCCCCTTTGCAGAAAAACACACCCTTGCATACAACACTCATAATTTTGTCCTCAGGTAATAAAAGAAACTACAATGACGAGGATTGGCAAAAGGTCTTTTGCCAATTTTGACATAGAAACACACATATATCTAACCTATAATTGATTTGATTTTTTTTTAATGTGATAAAAACATGTGTTAAAAATCATGGAAGTACCAAGTGAAACTCAAGCTCCTGTAATTAATCTTGTCTGGCTAGAATGGGCTTGGGTCAAAACTCTCTAAGACTCTTTGGGTTGAATTCACCTTGAGTCATTTCCTTTGTTTTGTCAGGAACTTTGTTCAGGTCTTCATCCCTGATATTTCTGTCTGTGTCAGCAAGAAAAAGATTATGAATTCTCATTTCCAGTTGGAGGTTGTCTCTAAGAAGTGATCTTCAAAAGCATTCTGTAGGATTCTCAGCATCAGTGATCTCTGCTGCAGAGAAACTGAGGCGGTGTTGCCTATCTGGACCACTGCCGGCGGGAGCAATTCCTCCAGTGCTAGAAAGTTTTCATAGTTGCCCAACCACATGCAATCTCCTCTCGCAGGCTAGCATCTTGGCCAAAAGAGCTCATGGTTTCTCAGCAGCATCCATGATGGTAATTAGAAAGCCTTAAAGAGAAATCCAGGGATGAACTTCTATTCTTCACAAGTCATGGCAAATCTATTTCTTCATAAAACATCTTAAAAGGGTGTGACTCCAGGCCCTGAAATCCACTCTTAGGAGACAACTATGAGCAAAACCAGATGCAGGCTCTCCTCACTCCAACTCCCCTCCCTCTAGGAACTCACCATCCCATGGAGAAGGTAGATGATAAGCTTATACTTGCCCAAATAAGTGTAGAAATCCACTTGTTAAAAGTATAATAATGAAAAGTAGATTGCGTTATGACATCATC